GTAGGAGACATAGAAATATTTATTAGCGAAATTGTCGGCAACTCCTGTTACCTTCGTCAGCGCATGAGTATCAATGAGAAACTTAACAGAATACATAAGACTATACAATGGGTGATTAATCACCAGATCTATAAACAATAGGTTACACAGTCTTATGTCATCACCCATTGGCACATACATTAAAAACATACAGTGTAAACAGTCAAGCCTAGATAAATGCAAAATATTGGTTTTATTATTTTGTAATCACTGAGGAATCTGCGAAAGTAAAAGTAAGTTTTAGAGCACTCTTTCTATATAATATAATAGCATAAAATAAAGATCTATAGTATCTTTACATAAAAAAAAACAATTATTATAGAAAAGAAATATGCCTACATAAATATACACATTACTATGGTATACGGATATATATATGTTTTCTTTCTTTTAATTATAGGCCTACATTTTTTAATATCAAGAAATATTACTTTAGTAGTAACATACCTTACACACATTTTACCTACCAACATACCAACAAATAAAATGAAAACTTACCAACTGTTATATTAAAACTACAGGACGCGGTGTTGTTGGCTTGGTCACTGGCGGTACACTCAACAGTACTTACACCGTCTGGAAATAGAGACCTGGACGGAGGATAACACGTGACTGATGGGGTAGGGTTATTACCATCAGTAGCTATGGGGTCTTTGTAGTTTACAGTCGATGTTGACCAAATCGAATCACTCGAAGGGCAGTCAATCTTGGGATGTATAGTATCTTTTTTTTTATAAAAATGAAACAAATTATAGAAAATAAATAGGCCTAAATAAATATACACATTATAGGACACAGTATACAAATATGGATATTTGTTTTTTATTTGTTCTAATAATAATAATAATAATAATAATAGTGTAGTTTTATATAGCGCACAAATCCATCTAATGTAATATGCTCAGGGCGCTTGAAATGTGGACTACATTTTTAGTGTCAAGAAAGGTGTTACTAGGCCTAAGATACAATACACACATTGTACCTACCAACAATTGAAAAACTTACCGACTGTAATATTAAAACTACAGGATGCGGAGTTGTTAGCTTGATCACTGGAGGTACACTCAACAGTACTTACACCGTCTGGAAATAGAGACCTGGATGGAGGATAACACGTGACTGATGGAAGAGGGTTATTACCATCAGTAGCTATGGGGTCTTTGTAGTTCACAGTTGATGTTGGCCAAATCAGATCACTCGAAGGGCAGTCAATCTTGGGATGTATAGTATCTTTTTTTATAAAATGAAATAAATTATAGAAAATAAATAGGCCTAAATAAATATACACATTATTATGACACAGTATATACATATGGATATTCGTTGTTTACTTCTTCTAATTATAAGCCTACAATTTTAGTGTCAAGAAAGGTTACTACTACTAGTACTATAAAATACACATTGTACCTACCAACAAATGAATTGAAAAACTTACCGACTGTAACATTAAAACTACAGAATGCGGTGTTGTTGGCTTGGTCACTGGCGGTACACTCAACACTACTTTCACCCTCAGGAAATAGAGACCTGGACGGAGGATAACACGTGACTGATGGAAGATGGTTATTACCATCAGTAGCTATGGGTTCATTGTAGTTCACAGTTGATGTTGACCAAATCGAATCACTCGAAGGGCAGTCAATCTTGGGATGTATAGTATCTTTTTTTTTATAAAATTAAACAAATTATAGAAAATAAATAGGCCTAAATAAATATACACATTATATGGCACAGTATACAAATATGGATATTTGTTTTTTATTTATTCTAATTATAAGCCTACATTTTTAGTGTCAAGAAAGGTGTTACTAGTAGGCTAAGATACAATACACACATTGTACCTACCAACAATTGAAAAACTTACCGACTGTAATATTAAAACTACAGGACGCGGTGTTGTTGGCTTGGTCACTGGAGGTACACTCAACACGACTTTCACCCTCAGGAAATAGAGACCTGGATGGAGGATAACACGTGACTGATGGAAGAGGGTTATTACCATCAGTAGCTATGGGGTCTTTGTAGTTCACAGTTGCTATTGACCACATTGTATCACTAGGACAGGTAATCTTGGGATCTATAGTATCTTTACATAAAATAAAACAATTATTATAGAAAATAAATAGGCCTACACATTGTAAAAATAAATACACATTGTAATATTATAGTATACGGATATAGATATGTTTTTATTTCTTTTTTATAGGCCTAAGTTTTAATATCAAGAAATATTACTTTAGTAGTAACATACCATACACACATTGTACACTCCAACCTACCATTTCTCTATGGACCTACCAACAAATAAAATGAAAAACTTACCGACTGTTACATTAAACCTACAGGACGCGGTGTTGTTAGCTTGATCACTTGCAATACATTCAACACTACTAGTTGCACCGTCTGGAAATAGAGACCTAGATGGAGGATAACACGTGACTGATGGAGGAGGGTTATTATCATCACTAGCTATGGGTTCATTGTAGTTCACAGTTGATGTTGACCACATTGTATCTCTGGGACAGGTAATCTTGGGATCTATAGTATCTGTAAATAAAATAAAACAATTATTATAGAAAATAAATAGGCCTACATAAATGTACACATTTAATATTATAGTATACGGATATAGATATGTTTTTATTTCTTTTTTTAGGCCTAAGTTTTTAATATTAAGAAATATTACTTTAGTAGTAACATAACATACACACACATTGTACACTCCAACCTACCAACAAATGAAATGAAAAACTTACCGACTGTTAAATTAAACCTACAAGACGCGGTGTTGTTAGCTTGATCATTGGAGGTACACTCAACAGTACTTACACCGTCTGGAAATAGAGACCCGGACGGAGGATAACACGTGACTGATGGAGGAGCTTTATTACCATCGGTAGCTATAGGTTCTTTGTAGTTCACAGTTGATGTTGACCAAATCAAAGCACTCGAAGAACAGCTAATCTTCGGATCTATAGTATCTTTAATACAATACCATAAGCAAATGATAGAAAATAAAAACAGAAAATCAAATGTGATATGCATTTGTATTATTATTATTATTATTATTATTATTATTATTATTATTATTATTATTATTATTATTATTATTTATTATTATTATTATTATTATTAATATCATTATTATTAATATCATTATTAGGCCTATTTTTATTATAATTCTCCTTTTTTTTTATTATTTAAACACAAATAACAAATTTATAAATATAGCGCATTTTTTCAGGAGAAAAATTATAACTTATTTTATGATGCTTAAAAATAAACTATGTTGCATAATGCAAGGTTATGTGTACTTTTACTTATATTTTTGTCATATTCACCTTCTGCTATATTTAAATTGAAATATATATGTATATAATCATATTTATTATACATACATATATATAGGCCTACATATATATAATGTATAAAATGTATTAATACATGTCTCCCTCTAATGAAGACCCCTCCAATTAAAGCCACCTCCAATTAAAGACCATTTTTCTGTGGTCCGAAATTAATAAATGTCTTTCAATTTTATTATTCTAATATTACAGACCAAAGCTGAAGACCATGAAAACCTCGGTCCCAATTATTGTAGTCTTTAACTGGAGGAAGACCTGTATATTTGCAGATTGACAATCAGAAAGAACCGCCGTGAAATGCGATTTTGTATTTGCTTACCGACTGTTATATTAAAATTGCAGGACGCGGTTTTGTTGAATTGGTCACTCGCAGTACACTCAACACTACTTACACCATCAGGAAATAAAGACCCAGATGGAGGGTCACATGTGACTGAAGGAGGGTGGTTACTATTATCAGTTGTTGGTGCAGCATAGTTCACAGTTGATGTTGTAAAAATCGAATCACTTGAAGGACAGAAAATCTTTGGATCCTTAGTACCTTATGAAAATACAGGATAGGCCTATTTCAAATTCGTTTACCTCCATGGTTCTATTGTATACCTACAAATTTTGATCCTGCTTTTTAATGTGTGATCTGTCACTCTATGCGACGAATCATAGAGTGTGCACCAGGTTTTATAAAAAGCAAAATCCAAATTCAGACATTAAACCTCACAATATCAGGGGTAGCGTCAGACAGAGGTCGGGGACAAATAAAATACTTGTATATTTTTACATATCAGAAGACTAATACGTACTACGTAATAACTGTCTCTTATACCCATCTAGATGTGTATAAGAGACAGACCATCCACACATTGTACACTCCAACCTACCATTTCTCTATGGACCTACCAACAAATAAAATGAAAAACTTACCGACTGTTACATTAAACCTACAGGACGCGGTGTTGTTAGCTTGATCACTTGCAATACATTCAACACTACTAGTTGCACCATCTGGAAATAGAGACCTAGATGGAGGATAACACGTGACTGATGGAGGAGGGTTATTATCATCACTAGCTATGGGTTCATTGTAGTTCACAGTTGATGTTGACCACATTGTATCTCTGGGACAGGTAATCTTGGGATCTATAGTATCTGTAAATAAAATAAAACAATTATTATAGAAAATAAATAGGCCTACATAAATGTACACATTTAATAT